AACCAGGTGCCTTGTAAACTCCTCTGCTTGTCATCAACTTTATGATTCTTTGAACTTCATCTTGCTTTTCGGCAACAGCATATAAGTTAGAAAGTAGAACATATGCTCCACTGCGACATTCCAGCTGCACAAGTCTCTCAGCTGCAAACTCAACCATCTGCGAATCCAAATACCAGTATCTATGAGACCGGTACACAGTCGAGAACTCAATGTCAACCGCCACAGGTTGACAAACCTGTGAATCCAAATACCAGTATCCAGAGCCCCCAAGTGAGCGCAAGCAGAGAGTGCGCTAACCAGCACTGACTCATCAGGCTCAACACCATTCAACTGCATCAAGCGAAACATGTACAGTCCTTTATCATAACATTATCATAAAAATTATCATAAAATTATCATAAATACATATTTTTATAAAAAAATTATCATAAAAAAATTATCATGAAATTTTTTTAATAAAAACAGAAAACCGAGCCATGAATAAAAAAGCAAAAAAAAAAAAAGAAGAAGAAACCGAAAACCAAACCGAACCGAACCGAACCGAACCAAATCGGCTTATCAGTTCGGTTCCAATTCGGTTCGGTTCCTATTTGGTTCGGTTCAAGGAGGCACCCTTAACAGTTCGGTTCGGTTCGGTTTTTCAAGAAAACCGAACCGAACCGAACCGTTTACACCCCTAGCACTCACCAACCCTCGCGAACGCGCAACAGGGGTTATGTGACATTCCGAATTTCGACCCATTTTTGGGATTTATAAAACGTGTAATTCGTCAGTATGCTTATAGTAAAATCTCGCCCGGGAATTGATCACTCTCGGATATTGTTTTTAAAATTGAGATTTCGCTAGAATCGCACTCGATCGAATATGGCCGTTATTTAGAGTTCAAACTTTGGTGTCGAATTTCTCGGAGTTCCGGGACGAATTTAATTGGACGGTGTCGATATTAATGTGGCCAGCCTCGAGATTGCCCGGGATATGTGAAAAGTGAAATTTGGACCGGGTGCGGACCTAGACCAATATACCTCCCTCAGTGTTTATTTGAATTAGTGTCTTCTAATCTTTTTCTTTAATTGAAAACTAGGAATTTTTGTGGCCCTTAGATCTTGGCTTGCTCACCAAGATCAATTTTGGACCCTTGGATTACACTTGAGTGGGTTGACTTGCTCTCTCTCTCTCTCTCCTTATTCCCGGAGCTCTCTCTCTCTCTCCCTCCTTGGAATCGGCCGAAGCTCCAAGCACCATCACCTCCACCTTGCTTCTCCGGTTCAGACGCCACTGGACTCGCTGCCTGAATCGCCGGCTAGCCACCCGTTCGGCCGCCGGAGTGCGCACTGTTCACAAAAGCCTGAACTAGCCCAGAAACCAACTGGAAAACACCAATTTTCCCATCTTTCTCTCTCTCTTTAGGCCTCACTCCTGGTACCCCGACCACCACCATCTTGTGCTCGTTCCAACCATCCCAGCATGGTCGCCGGAAAGTCGTCGGAGATTCCCGTCCAGCCCTGTTCACCGCCGGAGTTCAGTTTGCCTGTTCACCGGTTTTCTTGCTTAAACCCTTGGTAAGTGACTTCCTAATCCTTGGTTAGGCTAGTAGGTTACTAATGGCATGTCTAGGGATGGGTTAGGGGCTGTGGATAGTTGGTTTAGTGGTTGTATAAGCTTGATTTGCTTAATGGTGCAAGTTTAATGATTCTCGAATTTCTGGTTGTTATTGTACCTCTACGCTTTGTTATTTTTTTTGGTGATCATTGTGGGCCGAATATGAGAAAGTGTTCTTCATGGAATTTGTTCCCAACATCTTGAGGTATAACATACTTTAAATTCATAATTTTTGGAAGTTTTTTGGGGTCATTCGGAGGTCGGCTTTCGGACCGTCTCAGGGCTGCCGGAGTTACTGTTCACCCGACCTTCTTGTCTTTCCGAATTTTTATAAAATTTTCTAGACCTTATTTCAACAAACTTCCTTCACAAAAATTGTTAAAAACACTTGTTTCTATGACATATAAAAATTTCAGAGCTTTCCAAAGTGATTTGAGTACTGAATAAGTTGTATTTTGATGGTCTGAGGGGCTGTCCGAGCGAACCGGATTCTGTCCAGATTTGAGTGTCAAAACGAGGTGTTTACAGTTAGAACTGGATTTTGTGTCCTTGATGAAAAATGTTTATCAAGATGTTTTATACAACATATCCAAATTTCAGAATTTTTGGAGTTTATTTACTATTTATTTCAAATGGATTTCTGTCACTGCGCAACTGCCCAGTTTGGACCCGATTTTGTATATTCTCGGTTTTTCTCTCTCTCGAGAATTATTCGGTGTTATCGTGGTGTTTGTGGATGAATTTGATGTTTGAATGTGGCCGACTTGAATGTCAGATGGGTGGGCTTGTTTGGTGTACTTGTGATTGGAATTTGATTAGTATGACGTGTGAGAACGGACTTGAGACGTGTTGACGGTGGTCCGTGAAAGGAAAGTTTGTCTTGGGACGTGTTGACGGCGGCCATTGGAATTGATTGAATTATGTGACTTGTGTGCTTGTGAGAACGGATTTGAGACGTGTTGACGGTGGTCCGTGAAAGGAAAGTTTGGCTTGGGCTGTGTTGACGGCGGCCATTGGAATTGATTGAATTGTGTGGCTTGTGTGCTTGTGAGAACGGACTTGAGACGTGTTGACGGTGGTCCGTGAAAGGAAAGTCAGACCTGAGGCGTGTTTCCGCGGGTCGTGAGAAAGTGCGAGATGTCCAGTGAGGGACAGAGCCCGAATTGATCGGAGGGCTGAGCCTGAGGTGCATTGGCACGGGCTGTGAGAATGGACCTGAGGCGCAGTGGCGCTGGTTGTGAGATGGTTGGTTGGGAGCGTGTGCGAAATGTGATTGGTTGGATTGGCTGAAAGTACGTGTGGATATTTGATTGGATTGATTGATGATACGTGTGGATATTTGATTGGATTGATTGATGGTATGTGTGGATGTTTGGTTGGATTGGTTGGGTGCGAGTGTGGATGGCGCTCGAATGATTGTGTTATATTATCGGAATATTATTTCATTATCATGATTTGACTAATGTGCAGTGGGGGCATGTAAGTCCATTGATGTGAATTATATATATGTTATCGGTTAGATTGCATGTTGAGACTTGTCTGGGTACACATTGGCCTAGGTGGGGTTTAGGGTGTTGCTTATTGAGACTCGTTTTCACGGTTATTATATAACCATTTTCAGATCCGCGAACGTGATCGATTCAGGGATGCCGCCAGAGTACTACAGGGATTGAAGGATAAATCAAATTACCCTGTCTTTTGAGTACATTTTCGTAGAGGAGATAAGCTTGTCAATCACCACCCCCTTTTGAAAATTGTGGTTTGAAATTGATAGCCTGGGTTGTCGTTTTGTAATAGTGATTGCTTTATGACGTTATACAATTATTGTTTCGTGCTATCATTTTGTCATCATGTTAGTTGTCTGGGGTGTTTTATTTCGCTTCTGCTTGCGTAGTTCATTTGAGTCGGCGATGCGTCCTGGGACGTTGCGTTCAATACGACCGTTGAAGGGGTATCGCGAACCCGTTGGAGTTCGGGGCGTGACAGGTTGCCAGCCCTCACTTACAATCCAAGGAGGCTGGGTCTTCCATTCTTTAAGAAAAAATGAAAAAAGTGTAGGAATTAAAAAAAATATATCTATTTTTTTAGAAATTTTCAAAAAGTATTTTCTAACTTGGTACCATGTTAGCGCCATGTCTCTTAATAAAGTAAAACATGACACATGGGCATTTTCCGTTAGCCAAATTGGACAAAATTAATAGAGAGACTTGATTCACAAATTTGACAAGTTTTAGGACTCAATTGTACTTTTACGACAATTTTTAGGACTTTTGGTGCATATATTCCAAAAGAAAAAAAGAAAAGAAAAGAGAACAAAAACATTTATAAATTTCTCAAAATAATGTCGTTTTGGGTGGTGCTGTACGCGTCGGATCGCAAGCCATGCCATGTAAAACGGCCAGTATTGACTAGACCACTACGTTAGCAATTTCCGACCTAAATTGGCCGAACATACTATATTGGAAAATCTCAAAAGGTTAAGGACTACATTGGCCAAATTGAAAAGTTTAGAACTGAATTGGCATTCATATAATAAATTTTCAACTTTTAAAATTATTTTCCCGTCATTAATATCAAACTAGAGAAATATTGACAACTTTTAACATCTTAATGAGGAAAAATTATACTAAATTAAAAAGAGCGTGAAATGTTGTGATTTTACAATGAAGATTCCATCATATATATCTTAAAGCGTGATGTAGATTATACTTTGAATTTGTTGCCATCGCAAAAATGTATGTTTTGAAGTAGTAATATCTACTAAACAAGAAATATTGAAAATATGAAAAAATCACCAAAATGCCAATACATAATTAAAATAATGTGTTGTGTTGATGCATTCTGTTGGATACACCGAGCTTGTTGATTGGTATCGTCTCGAACAAAATTCAACGAAATTGCCTCATATATCTCTCAATGAGTCCAAACACATAACCATTTACTTTATTTTTTAGGAAAGCAAGCGTGTGACAAAAATTAACAGTATGAAGTCAGAATTTTGATTACGTAATGTAGCTAGGTAGATGTTAATTCAATATGTATTTAGTTCATCTTTCTTGGTGAAATAGCACGCAGGCACATAATTTTCCATTTATAACCTTTTCATATCATGGTTATATTTTCTTTACCCATTATATATATAAGGAACAAGTGCTTCTGACTATTGAAATTGCCTCCACCCATAATATAGCAAAAACGCAACTAGAGAGTGTACTTATAATACGAGTAATGTCTTAAGTTTGGGAAAATCAATGAGCTTTCACATGGAAACAACGAAATTGTCAACCCACCCGCCAAGCACTAATACAACCATTGACTCGACCTCTCAGGATGCTGTTTGGTTTTATCAAGTGTAACAGCTTTACAGAAGATGCAATATCAAGTGTGCCCAATGAGGATTGACATGTTGACGAGAGACCTTGATGTTGATCTATTGCACTCGGCAAAACTTTAATATATTCATGATGAGAGGATGACCTATTCAACTCTTGTTTAGATACAAAGTATACATTTTGTGTCTATTTATTTTCACTATTGAAGGGAAGGTAAAAAGAACTGTCTACCTAGCTGACAAACACAAATGCCTATCTTACTCAGCATCAAACATGTCGAATTTCCATATACCCTATCATTTGAAGGCCAATTATCCTGGAAAATCCGCACTTCAGGGTATCTTAGATTGGATAGCCTCTTAACTTCTTCGTTTGCAAAATTGTAGAGCAACTGAGGGTCAAGTTTTCGGCAAAGAGCTTCACTTTTTTTTGTTCCCTGCAACAGTAAAACAAAAGGGCAAGTATATTATATTGAACAAGTATAATCGTCTTTCCGAGCATGAAAGATAAATCTAAGCATTAATATAAACAAAAAGCAAGTTACAAGAGTAATCATGAGATAAAAAAAATAACTTCCCTTAAATATTATTGAGTAAACAATCATAGTGTAAAGGCATGTAATTTGCCAGCTTGGTGGGGATAAAGTAATTGAATGCAAATTTACCTTCGGTTCCATCACCACGTCCAATCCTTCCGCATGGTTCCACAACCGAGTCTTTTTTTTTCGTTCCCTATCACATTCTCGACGAACAATTTCTCTACCAAGGCCTCTTAGCTGATCATGCATCCATAGCTTATTATCTTCGTCGATTTTTATCAAAGACATTCTCTGAAGGACCTCAAGACCTTCCTCTGGGAAGAGATTGCAATCTTTCCACGAGTGGAGCACTATCCTATGATCAAATCCAGCGAAAAGACAAGCTATCTCAAGATAGATATGCTTTTGACAATCATCCAAGGCATCATAACTTATTTTCAAATTTCTTTTTACTTCATTGAGAGGAACTTGTTTCAACTTCTTCAATATCACATCCCAAACATCTTTTCTTCTGTGCGGAAGTAGTTTGCCTATAGCCTCAAGAGCAAGAGGAAGACCTCCTGTACTTTTGACCACTTCAGTGGAGAAAGCAACATAGTCGTCCAAAGGGTAATCTCTTCCAAAAGCATGTTTGCAAAAAAGTTGAAGAGATTGATTGAAGTTCATGCTCATAAGCTCATATGGATAACAAACCTCAGGAACATCGACAATATCCCTGTTTCTACTAGTTATGATAATCCTACTTCCTAAACCAAACCATATAGGTTTTCCTATCAGTGCATCCCAATGAGTCATTTGATCAACATCATCAAGTAGCAATAGAACCTTTTTACTGCATAACCTTTCTTTTATTATCTTAATTCCTTCCTCAACATTGCTAAGGTTTGACCACTCTGTTTTGAGAACGTCAGAGATTAGTTGATTTTGCAAACCTTCAATGCCCTTGAGCTCTGAAGTTCTCTTGATGTTAGAAAGGAAGCAACAAGATTCAAAATGATGTGAAAGCCGGTTATAGATGATTTTGGCAAGAGTAGTCTTTCCGACACCCCCCATACCATGGATTCCAAGAATTCTTATATCCTCTGAATCACCACACATCATTGTATCGATTTCCTTCACATGATTTTCAACTCCGACCAAGCAGTCTGTCACCAGCAGATAAGCCGTTTTCAACTCACCTATAACCTCCTGGACAATCTCGCCTACCAATTCTCCTTCACCTCTAATATTATGGAAGGAAAAGGGAAAACATAATTAGAAGAACAAGGTAACATTATGGAAATAGTGAGCCAAAATGATTATCCAGAAAATGACATACCTATTTTTCTTCGAATTGTCCCATCCGTTTAGATTGGCAACATGGTTGAGAGCAGCTTTCCACTTACTGAAGTTCACACCAAATTTCTCCTTATGCGAAAGAAAGGCTTCCTCATAAGACCCAATTTGATGACGGACCTCCGCTGGAGTAACGTCATAAAAAATGGGCATAACTTTTTGTCTCCTTGTTTTACTACACTCCACCATTTGGACCAACTCATTAAGACACCATTTACTAGAGGCGTAGCCCTTGGAAAAGATGGGAATTGCAATTTTTGATTGGCTAATAGCTTTGAGCAACTCAGGACCAAACTCCTCGCCAACTCGGAGCTCTTCATCGTCCTTAAATGTGTGGATTCCAGCACCTAACAACCTGGTATAAAGGAAATTTGTAATGCCTGAGCGAGTATCTGGCCCCCTAAAACTCAGGAAAACATCATAGTCATATCCAGATGACATGGAGGTTGATGATGGTGAGGCATCTTGCTGGTACAGTTTTTCCTGTTTTAGCAGCGTCATCTCAGGGAATTGCACTGAGTTGGGGACACCTGCAGCAATAGCTGCCACACTGCCATTGTCGACAGCCGATGAGGATGCTGAGTCACTGGCAGAAGTTGCCTTCCTGTTTGTTTCTGTCACAGCTACTATTCCTTCCCATCTTACAGATTCGGTGTTCTGACCTGTTTTACAAAAAACGTTAAGCAATAATGGCCATAAAAAGAATTCAGGCAATTGCAGGGCACGAGGCAACTTTAAGGAAATCTATTTCATTCAATAGAAATTTCCTTAAAGTTATAAATCGTGGTGATATGCAGCCTATCCCTGCAGACAGTAGCTACGATTTGTGAAATTTTGAGTCCGAAGTGATCTCTTATGAGGACACTTCATAGATTTTCATCTAATTAAAAGGAAAAGCGAGAAGGAAATTATGTGGAAGTTATTACAGGAGCATTACACGGTACTATTAACCAAAACAATCCCTTCATCTCAGGTATGACTGTCTATTTCACGTTTGTATTGTATACGTGTCTCGCCAAATGGTCAAACTGTTTTTCATTGACTCTATAGCTGGACAGGACCAAGTGGAACTGAACTTAAATGAATAAGTTGTGACCGAGTAAAGGTAGTTCACTTCAATTCAGGTACATGCACCATCCTACATTTAAAGTTGGAATAATTCATAATACTATTTGGTTGACAATATAAAATGAGTGCGGATCATTTCTTTGTGACTAGAAGCATGCAGAAAAATTCCGTTGTGAACCTATTACCTGAGATGACAACTTGAGGCATTTCTGAAGACGAAAATGGCTGCTGATTGAGGGACTGCAATTTTGAGTGATCTACAATATTTCGCATCGTAATTGCATCTTGAGACAGTTTAAAAGTAGGCATCATTTGCTCCACCCGAGCCACAGAAGGAAGAGGAGGAGGGGGTGGAATACAAGAAGCTTGAGGTGAATTATTCACAATGGACGATGGAGGAGTTCCTGAAACAAGAAAGTTAGGGGCATGAGGAAGGGGATCAAATGGGACTTTCTTGATATTGTTCAATGATGATGCCTCTAAGCCAATAAGGATGCCTGGGATTGTACAGAGGAAGAAGAAAATGAACCTGTGAGATCGGACAGTGAGAATGACTGACCATTCCCTTCCTTGGTCGTGCCATATTGTTGATCCAATTCACAACTTGGTGAATTGTAGGGTGATTTTGTGGCTAATTCAAAACTTCCAAAAGATCCCTCAAGAGCTGAATGAACCGAACTTTGTGACAGCAAAGGTGGCATTGGTGGCAAAGTCGATGTGGACTCGATATTGGACTGTACTGGCAGTTCTGGAAATTCATTCTCTTCAGGCCTTAAAAAAAATCTTCTTCTCTTCCCAAGAAATGAAAAATAGCCCCTCTCAATTTCTCTGGTACGGAGCCCCAAGATATTTTTTGTGAGTCCGTGCTGTTCCAACATCTTTGACCTCAAATGCACTTGCAAATCGTGCGCATAGTCCGCACTTATCTTGCATTCTAGCAGATTGTCTAGAAGTTCGTCCCCGGAAAGATCCTCTAGAGGTGTAGCAAGGACATATAGTTCTGATAGGTTCTTCAAATTTGAGATATCAAGTGTGGTAAGTGATGGGCAATCTATGAGGTGAAGCTTTGAGACCATCAAGGGAATATGCGGAATGCATTCCAAAGCATGGCAACCATAAAGATGAAGAGATCTCAATTGAGGAAGTGCACCTAACTCGGGAGATAGGTTGGTCATATGTGGGATTGTCAGGGTCAAGACTTCCAATTTGGATAACCTCCCAATCCACCATGGCATGGGTTCTTGTGATTGCACCAACTCAGATGAGCTAGAGATATCAGGCACTCCCATGCACAATAATAGTAGTTTTAGATTGATCAGGCTCGAAAAATCTGGAATTGTTATCAGCGATGGAGAAGAGATTGCCAGAGAAGTCAAGCTTATGGGAAGTTTAGGCAGGGCAGAGATACCCCCTGACCCATAGCACACTGAAAGTTTCAATTCTTTCAGATTCTCCAGACTTTCCATAGAGTCGGGGAGCTCTATGATTCCTGTTTCCAATAGATCCAACTCAGTCAATGATCGTAGTTCCTTAATGGAGTGTGGAAGTCTACCCATATTCGAGCACCAATTCAAAGATAAGCTTTCAAGGTTTGTTAGCGCTCGAATGGAGTCGGGTAAGTGAGTAATTGGTGTCGCATCCAATGAAAGCTTCTTCAGGTTCTCCATGACCCACCATTCTGGAATTTCTCGTATAGAAGTTCCATCAAGGAGAAGTTCTGTGAGAGCTGACAATCTACCCAACTCTTGTGGTAGATAGCGGAGATCACTACAGAAGTTCAAGTTCAAGAAAACCAAGTACTTTAGCTGACCGATTGACGAGTGGATTTCAGCCAATCTTTCACACTTTTCAAGAATCAATCTCTCCAACTTCAAGAATCCGGAGAAATTAGGAGTCCTGGTCAAGAGCTCACACCCAGAAAGGTTAAGAACTTTTAATTTCTCTGCTCTCTGTAACACCAAAAAGACAATTGTCAGTAAATCTATTACGTCAAGAGAATGTAAACACTGATAAGAAGACTACTCCAGAGCTGAGGGTACCTTGATATGTCTCCATCCGCTCCAATCATGAGTAATTTTACTTCTTGAAAAATCAAGAATGACTAAATTACTCAATGAAAAATTGCTTATTTGCAGTATCCGCTGAGGAAAATTATGCCAAGAGAACCATCTTAAATCTGGAAGGAGTTGCTTCTTGCTCAGATAAGAGTTCGTCGGCGACATGAACGAGGACATGTTACGCATAAGAATTGTAGCTTTGGAGTAGAGACGGTCGACTTTGTCAGTAAGATGTCGACTATCCACATGAAGGAACCTTAGATTTGGAAGCTCTGCAAATCCTTGAAGAGTAAAACGATAATCTGCCCAATCCTCAAACTTCAGACGGAGGGCTTGGAGCTTTTCATTTTTCTGAATAAGAAAACAAGAAAAATTAACGAGAAAGGAGGCTACAATTAGCTAATTAAGAGAAAAACATTCTAGCGCTTTTCTGAATTTGAGGCAAAGATAGTATTTTAGATAATTGAGCGTACCTAAAGTTTCTTAAATTCGCTCTCATCATTCTTATGGACCAATATGGAGAGGACCGAGAATGAGTTTTGAAATTTATTTTTCATAATTTAAGAAATGTTTTTTTTGAATAAACAGTATTTTAAAATGTAAACGTTCAATAAATTGTAATTGTTTTCGCTAGGCAGGATAGCCCCCAATTACATAATGCAATTTCTCGTGCAAAAAGGAAAGCAGACCCAAGAGTTACCTTCTTGCTCAATAGCACGTTGAATGCATCTTTGTGATTCCACAGTCTACTTTGCTTCTCTAATTGCTCACCACTTTCTTGAGAAACAATTTCTCTGCCGAGATCTTTCAGTTGATTATGCATCCACAATTTATTATCTTCTTCAATTTTAATCAATGACATCAACTGAAGCACTTCAAGACCTTCTATTGGGAATAGATCACAGTCTTTCCACATGTATATTACCATATTCTTATCACATCCAACAAAAAGACAAGCTATGTCAAGAAATATTTGCCTTTGATTGAGATCCAACGCTTCGTAACTTATCATCAACTTACTTCGAATTCTCTGGATGGGACCTTTTCTCCACTTCTCTAGGTAATCATCCCACATCTCTTGTGTTTGTCCACGTAATGATAAAGTCGAACCCATAACCTCAAGCAGCAGTGGAAGACCTTGGGCGATCTCCACAATTTCTCTAGATTGTTTTAATTTTTCAATTGGAGGGTTATCTCTTCTGAAAGCATGCATGCTGAATAGCTGAAGGGATCTATCAAAATCCATTACGCCAATGCGATAAATCAATTTTACTTGGAATGCACGGAGAACAAGTGCATTCCTTGTGGTTATAAGTATCTGGCTTCCAGGGCCAAAGCAACCTTGCCACCCCAAAAGTGCAGTTAGTTGACTCTCGTCATCGATATCATCAAGAAGAATAAGAATTTTCTTACTAGAAAATCTCTCTTTGATAGTCCTCAGTCCCTCGTCCTTGCTATCAATACTTGAGCATGTCCCTTTTGAGAGATATGAAATTAGTCGGTTCTGCAAATACACAATTCCTTTCGAGTTTGAAGTATGTCTAACATCGGGAAGGAAACAACAGCTAGCAAAGTCCCGAGAAAGCTGGTTGTAGACTACTTTGGCAAGAGTCGTCTTTCCGATGCCACCCATTCCGTGGATTCCCACGGTCCTTACTTTATCAGTGCCAGTGCCTATAATCCCCAAAACTTCTTTCACACTGTCGTCAATGCCAACCAAGAAGTCACTAACCACCAAATAAGCCTTTTTCAGCTCACTTAAAACCTTGGTAACAACCTGTTTAACCAGTTCTCCTTCGTGCCTGACGATATAAATGACGAGAAAGGCCAAGGCAAAGTAGAAAGTAAGTTAGAATCGACAAGCTGAGATCTATGACATCAGGAATTGATAGCAGTCTGTGGAAGCCACAGGGTTTAACAAGAAGTGCAACCGCAAATGGAACATACCACTTTTGCAATCAGCAGGAAGAATAAATTTATGGACATGCTAGGCAGATGCTCAAACCTTGTGCAGAAATCGAATAGTTACGCAACCGTCAAAGTATAAAAGGTGATCATTATATCTTGCTAATAAGAAGTAGGGTCATGCTAATATAACGGCACCGTTATTCCTATAGATGAACAGTGCATTTTGATCTCCCAACACTTTTTACCGAATGATGGGCAACCGGCAACAATAAGTAGTGCAATTAGCTTTCTATCATATACTGGCTTTCATTTGCAAACATCTTTCACTACTTCCATGTAAACTATGGATGACATATTTTGATCACCGCCTAGACTTAGGACTTTTTTCTAGTGGCGCAAAAGAAAAATATGGAGTTATTTCAATATGAAGGAAATTACATCCATAGTTACGCCGTATTAATTTTTTGTTAGTTCTGTAAAAAGATTTGTGATATTTGAAAATTGATATTTTTGAACCTTAATATTTTAGTCACCTTCTCATTTTCCAAAAGGAAACCTAATCACCCTCTCATTGTCTACGACTCTTGTTTGCATCGAACAAGGAACATTATCTTGCACGTGATCCAATTAAGTCACTCGTGTCCCATAATCCAAAATTGATTTGACTGCTCCAAAAGTACAAATAAATCATTCTCCGGTCACATGTCTAAACCTAATGGACTGTCACTTTCTCATTTTCCTAAGAAGAAAAAAGGCTGATGATGTTGACGAGTATTTCTGATGTGTAAACAAGCTTCTCCTTCTCAAAAAAGCTTTACGATTATCAGATAGCACACGTCTTAAGTGTCAAGAACAATAAACAAGAGATCAAATTGGAATGTTGACCCGTTACTGAAACAAAGGGAACCAGCGTAGCTACAATTTTCCAACTACAACAAAAAAGCATTTGCACTCATGGTCTCTTGTACTTGGCGTTCATCAAGGGCGGAAGATAATTAAGTACCTGTTAGCCACGTTGTCTATGTACCACCCCTTTAACCCTCCAACCTCGTTGAGAGCAGCTCTCCACTTGGGGATGGTCTCATCGTCCACTCGCTTCTTGTTTTCGTGAGAAAGGAAGTGAGAAAGGAAGGCCTCACCGTAACCTCCGGTTTGGTATCGAACCTCGGATGGTTCGATATAGTAGAAAATGGGCATGATTATCTGTCCCTTCCGTTTCCTACACTCCACCATTTGGGCCAACTCCTTAAGACACCATTTACTGGAAGCATAACTTTTAGAGAAGATGGGTACGGAGATCTTTGATTGCTCGATAGCTCCGAGGAGATCCGGGCTGATCTCTTCACCGATGCGGAGATCTTCGTCGTCTCTATACGTACGGACTCCTGCTTCTTTGAGACGGGTGTAGAGATGATCGGTGATGCCCATGCGCGTGTCCGGTCCTCTGAAGCTCAAGAACACTTCATAATCACACCCTTCCATCGCCACAAGTCGCAGAGAAAATAATACACCAGAGGCGCACCGGTTCTGCAAAAGCTGATTTCTAAGCTCTATGAAGCCAAAAGTTACTGGAAAGTAGAAATATGTTACATAGTGGATCTCAAGACGAAGTTTCTCTTGTTTTTTTTTTTTCGCTAAATAAGGCAAAGTTTCTCGGGACCACCGATCTTAAGGAAGGAAGTTTCGGGGAACTTCACCTGTGTCTGGAAAGGCTGACCACTCCCTACTTCTGCATTCACACTTCTGGGTCCTAGTGATTTTACTTTGGCAAGCACATTCAACGGACGCCCTTTTTTCCCTCTTTTTATCCGACGGTTCATTTTGGATGCGCAAGCTTTATCCACTTTTACGACTCATCTCATCCTTGTCAAAAAAGAAAAGATTCCGGTAGCTTCACCACTGTCTTCTGGAAAGGCTTACAGCGTTCTCATTAACAAAAAGCAGTCAGCCAAAAGAGCAAATGCAAAAAGCAATCTAACACGACGAGCACAGATCCTTTTCTCTCGAAAATCAATGTTCTGATCGTCAAACTAGTGCGCTCGGTTGTTATAGCAGACAAAATTCAATTCTAATGATAATATTGAGGGTGGTCCCACCTACCTTTTTTACTAACTTAGAAATCATAAAATTATGAATAAGTTATATCTGATTTTACGCATTAACATTTATATTCTTGAAAAGTTTTACACACAACATAAAAATAAATAAAATGGTAATAGTATCTTTACCAAAAAAAAATAAAAAAAATAAAATGGTAATAGTAACTTCAGATGTTTTGAAGAGCACCAAAGGCTACAGAGTGCAGCCTACCAAAAACAGAAGAAACAAAGGAAAAAAATAAAGCAAAGCACTAGTCCAGTTCTAAAGAGAAGAAGAGGAACAACCCACCCATATTTGGTTAACAACCCAGAAATTTTTTTTTGCTTCTTCTTTCTGTCAATAAATGAATTAATCTCGTACAGTAGCAAGCGAAGATTCAAGTAATATTCATATGAAATCATAATGACACAAGAGATATAAGAAAGCCGAAATATAAAATCTTATTTACGTAAAGATGCGGCAAGTTTTTATTAGGGTTTTGCTAGCATAACAGTTTTTGGGCCACTATGAGATTAATAGCATGTTGTGAGTCATAAATTCTCGAAGAAGTAGATCCCACAACAATTTATAATTATTTGTTATTTTTTTTGTGGTTCATAACAAACTGTTTTTCTCACAGTAAATTAAAACTATCATCCAATCATTTCTCTTTTTATTATATACTTAAATCTTAAATATGCTGCGCTCTTTAATTACAATTTTTTCGCTTCGCCTCTCAAAACCAATTTGAAAACAGAAAAATAGAGAACATGGACCTTCTTGCTCTACCTGTAAGGATACATTACAAAATAATGAGGAATTGATTAAAAAAAAAGAACCTCTCCTATAAAGAAAGGGAATGTGTCGTGTCGCGCACTTCACAATGATAATAATTTAAGGGTACGTGCATAGCCCACAAGTTGCGGCTTCTTCGTGGTCGCATTTTTCTCCGATGACAATTTACTGCTGTTGTTCTTATTGCCGATCGTTCGGCACAGGTTGTTCATCCGCATTACTTCTTATGCAATGAATGCAAATTGCAATGCACACGTTTGGTTTGGCTCTGGCTTCACCACCCAAGCACAACAGCTTTCTTCATTCTTTATCCCCTCTTTTTGGTTAATACTTTTCTGTATTGAAATTTACTAAGCATATGTAGTGAAGGAATTGGACGGAACATCCATAGTACTAATGACCTAATTAGTACGGAACGTTGTTTCCACTAATATCTTTCGGCATTCCACTAATGACCTAATTAAATATTGGAAATAATTGAAAACTCAATCCAGCTGGATGACATAATAGCTCTGAAGTGTTGCTTTCATCTTTTTGACCGCATGTCGCGATACTCCTATTGGTACATGAACGCGCAATGGAAAGCTTACAGTGCAGCCAGTATCTTATGCGAAACCTATTGTACGGCCTGGAATCAGAACCATTAAAAAAAATATTTGTTTATGATTGGCTTCGCGTGGAATAGCAAAAAATTGAGAAAATTATTTAAAAAAATTCTAAACTTATCGTACGGTAACAATTCAGGTCTAAATCTTTCAATTTATCAATTAAATCATAAATATTTTGATTACTCGCTACTATAGTCCTAAACCTTTTAACGAATTGCCAAAGTTGTCATTTTGGCTAATTTTGATCGGAAATCACTAATGTGACGGTCCAGTTAGTGCCGGTCCAGTTAGTGCCGGCCATCCTACGGGACGTAGATAAATTTTTTATTTTATTTTTATTATCTTCCTTTTTTTTTTCCGTTTCTTCTTCATTGAGTCAACAAGGCCACCGGCAACCACAGCTGACCCTTGGGTGAGGGCTCGCAACGCCCTCTCCAAATATGTTGAGGCGAGGGAGTCGCGGCCCATGCCCAGGCCCACAGTGAGGGCGGGCGAGGGCCGCAACAAGGGCTCATGAGCCATCGCCCAAATTCGATGAGAGCCATGACCCTCGCCCAGGGGTCGACGGTGGTCGCCGGCTGGTGACACCCACCGGCCACGACTAGTAGCCGAAGGCCTTGCTAACACAACGAAGAAGAAAAGAAAAGAAAAGAATAAAAAATAAAATAATCGATAAAATAATAAAAAATAGAATTTTTTTTAAATAAAAAAAATTATTCACGTTAGCACCAGCCGCACCACGTTGGACGACTAATCCCGATTGGACTGTCACATCAACGATTTCTGGCCAAAATTAGCCAGAAGGACTATTTTGGCAATTCGTTAAAAGTTTTGGGACTAAATTTGCATATTGTCAAAAGGTTTAGGATTAAATTTGCACAATTGAATGGTTTATGACTGAATTAACAAGTTGTTAAAATGTTTAGGACTGTGTTGACAAAATTGAAAGATTTATGTGATGACCCAGACCCAAGGCGACGGGCGCAGGATGAGGGATGGCAAGGGAGGTTGTGCCTCTACCCTGGACGTGCGCAGGGCGAGGCTAAACGCATGTCTCTTGTCCCACATTGCCTAGGGAGAGAGCCTTAGCCTTACTTATAAGGCTTGAGGAACCTTAACCTAGTACGATGCGTTTCAAATCCGTGAGGGCTCCGACCCAAAGCGGACAATATCGTGCTAAAGTGGGTCCTCGGGTCGTTACAAGTGGTATCAGAGCCAACTCCCAATCGCATGTGGGGCCACAGCGAGGGCCCGTAAGGGAGGGAGAATATGACGACCCAGACCCAAGGCGACGGGCGCGGGATGAGGGATGGCAGGGGAGGCTGCGCCTCTATCCTGTACGCGTTTTAAATCCGTGAGGACTCCGGCCCAAAGCGGACAATATCGTACTAAGGTGGGTCCTCTGGTCGTTACAATTTAGGATTAAATTGATTATCTTACAATAAGTTTAAAACTTTTTGGACAATTTTTCCGTAAAAAAATTAGTATCAATGAGCATTGCACGTGCACCCTCACACAAAACACACACACACATATATACTTTTTTTTGGGCCAAAAACCCGCATACACATGAAAGTTCATAAAATGGTCCGTCAGAATCTACTTTAAAAAATGCAGCTGGTTACCTGCAAAATTGGTTTTAAATCGTAACTTACTGATATTAAATGAAAGTTACAGATCTAAAGATGATCAAACCTACACTTGATTAAGAAAAGTTACAAGGAAAATTACTGAATCATAGGTTGCAAAATTTTACCATATATAATAGAAAGTATGATCAATTAGATATTTTGCAAACAATAGGATAATTGAAATTCATTACTAACTTTTGTAGATAATATTTTTGTGGAATAATACAAATCATAAGACCCACAAAACTTACAATTACAAAAGGAAAAGTACGTCCTCCAAAGAAAAGTTACGAAAGCATATTTTACAAGTAAATTACTATTAATGAGGATAATTACTTTCTGTAAAAATAATTGAATCCATTAGGTAATTTACATACAATAAGACAAGAAATTTACTATTAACTCAGGCAGAGTACACTCTTTTGTGAAATATTACGAATCATACGACTTGGAGAGTTTAGGATGACGAAAGGGAAAGTACATCCTCTAAAGAAGTATTATGTAAAAGATATATAATCGGTAACCCGCTCTACTCCCCAATAATCTCACACAGTTTTTCCACAACCATTTTGGGAATTTTTAATACCTAGAATCGATAGGTTGATTGAATGATTGTGTCCGCCAAAATTTCCACAATGTTACTGTTTTAGGGGACCCTTTCGTTTGGAGTAAACCAACCGGCCAAAGTTGACTTCACACAGTAACAAAATGAACGAAGAAAGTAGTTTGTTTTTTTTTTTGGTCGAATAAGAAAGTGGTTCATTTGGCGTATTTGCCGTGCATAATCAGGAGGAAGAAAACCGGAATGGTGGACTTTAGGAGCGTCTTGGACACCGACAGCGGAATTTACAAGTCTTCCACGTGGTTTCTTTTCTACTTCCCATTGATCTCACATGGTCTTTACTGTTACGGAAACATAGCCACAGCTTACCCAGGATTCCCGTCATTATGCCGTGCTATGGCAGCAGGAATCAGCTTCTTTCTCTACGGCTCTTCAGTCT